TATAATCGAAAAGCTCACCTTCCCAGGCTGCCCTCGCGCTTCCTCCCGCCCAAATATATTACCTCACTTACTCCAAAAATGGAGTCACGCGAGGGGTGTCAGAGGACTGGAAATCAACCAATGCAGTACAGTTATTCAAGAAGGAATAAACCAGCAAACATGGAACTAGAGAGTCTGTAAGGGTATGTAACAAAGCAGGTCTTCAGAAATGTTACTGCTACAGTTTGACAGGAAGTGTGTGCTATGCCCGCAAGCCTTGCATTATGTTCAGGATGGATGAGCTGATTGAAATAGTTGTATGTAACACTGGGCACTGTAAATTTGTTCTGTATTTTCTCACCTGCCAGTCAGGAGTTCGTACATAAGGATTCCCAGTGACCAGTAATCTGCTGATATGTCATGGCCTTTGTTCAAGATGATTTCTGGAGCCACGTATTCAGGAGTCCCACAGAATGTCCATGTTTTCTTCCCAAATCCTATTTTCTTGGCAAACCCAAAGTCCACCTAGTCACACACAGACAAGTAGCTTTAATTTGCAACTTTGCAAAATCCTTCTGGCCTATAATTTGTAACGTATCATTCTGAATGGCTAATAAAGACACTGATTAGTGTTTGGCTCAGACATTATTTAGAGACCAAACTCGGTCTTCACTCACGGCATGGTGCCAAGCGGTGATGTCAAATAGATGTAAATTCATGCATACAGTTATCCTTATAGTGATAGTAACATATTTTCTTCCAGTCAAGGAGGGAAATTAATCTGGGTTTTGATGCACAATCATTGCACCAATAGTTGACGTCTGGGACAACTTAAATAGAATACCGAACCAGATGGATTGAGACCCGAGGCTTGCCTTGTTACAAGAAATGGAAATCTAAGAAAGGGGAAGAAAGTATTTCCTAGGTGCTGTGGCCAGAACATGAACCTGGAAGTCAATATTTAAAATATGAGGTCTTGATCTCGGAGGGAAACTGACCTATGGAGCTGGTGTTCATCAACAAAACCCAAGAGTTTGAGATCTGACCCTCACATTGGACAGAAGAAAGCAGGGAGGTTAAAAGAAATTAAACATTACTTTAAAAACAAGACCAATGTGAAGAATCAGGTTCAGAATCAATGGAAGCAAAACTGAAATGGTAAACATATAGCATAATGGACAGAACAGGAATAGCCAGAAGAATTAAGCAGCTTATCTTCTCAGGATTTATTTGAGAATTACTATGAGAAGAATCAGCCATCAAAGGTTTTTCGTCTTATGCACATCAGGACAGCAATACAAGGATAGCAAATTTCACAGGAAACAACAATTTATACTGCAAGAGAAAAGGGTGCTGTCTGGTTGGCTATTGGACTCCGATTGGTTGATCTATTGCTATGGTGAATGCAACATTTATTCCCAAAGCAAAAACAGAAATTGCTGGAAAAGCTCAGCAGGTCTGGCAGCATCTGTGGAAAGAAATCAGAGTTAACTTTTTGGTTTGAGTGACCCTTGCCAGTTGCAGTTCTGAGGAAGGGTCACTGGACCCGAAACGTTAACTCTGCTTTCCCTCCACAGATGCTGCCAGACCTGCTGAGCTTTCCCAGCGATTTCTGTTTTTGCTTCTGATTTACAGCATCCACAGTTCTTTCAGTTTTTATTTATTCCCAAATGTTTGTTTAAATTCAAACCTGGCAGTTGACTCTGATTACTCAGAGGTGTAGCCATGGGGAATTCCTCAGGGACACCAATCTTTAAATTAAATACTTTGGTTGATTAACTATACCACACAAAGAAACTTGTGAATTCCAGCTAGTGTTGGATTCACTGCTGCACTCTATAAACTGAAGGTTTAATTAGCCAGCCAAGGGTGGTTCCAATTCTCCCCTTGCCCCAACTTCAGTGGCTTTGTAAAAGTTAATAAGAATGTAGTTCTTTTTAATAAGCCACAGCTTTTGAGTACTTACCAGTTTAGCATAACCCCGATGATCAAGGATTAAATTCTCTGGCTTGAGGTCCCTGTAAATAATTCCTTTGGAATGCAAATAGGCAAAGGCTTCCACCACACAGGCTGTGTAAAAACGGGTGGTAGCGTCGTCAAATGAACCTCTGCAAGAAAATCACCAAAAGGAATACATTTACCTGTCTCACTTGACACTTGATGTGTTAATTGTATGGTTTAGGTTGGCATGAGATGCAGCTGGTGGTACAGCCAGGCAATGGTGTAACATGTTGGAATCCATCTTGATGCCATGCGTGCACACTCCATTATCATGAGGCAAAGTGTGAGGTTTCATGGGGGAACTGGCTGAAGGGTTGGAATCCTGGATATCAATGCATGCAATGTTATCGTTCAGAAACTGAATGCAAACTTATTGGACGAATCTGTCCCTCATTAAACTTCGTCGATTTGCTTCAAAGGAGTTAGTTCCTCTGTGAAGATATTGGAGAGGAACCTGTGGCAAGGGTTTGCACAATAACAGCTGGAACAGATGGGACATCAGACCTTTGAGTTGATGGAATTCATGGCAAAAAGCGGACTTCAGAAGTTCTTAGATCCTGAACCACCAGGACATGACGGTAAACTCAAGAAACCACAACTTAGGCACTTGAGACATAAATGTCATACAAATAGAGCTGTTATCCCATGCAATGGATTAACACCTAACACAATGAAAATGGTTCAAGTGGGGTCCTTTAGATGGATGACACAAGCTGGATGGGTGGAGTGGCTTGTTTGCACAGTTCCAATTTAAGTGATTGCAGTTGAACTATTTAAATACACAAGTACCACGTACCTTTTAATATTGTCTTCTTTGTATCTATGGAAAAAGGTCAATAAAATATTATTCAAGAGAAAAGGGATGCTACAATAGAGCTGGGAATTTGTCCATTTAAGGTTAATGGCCTGTTATTAATGGTTCAATGGAGTTTGGGCGCTAAGAGCTGTTGGCTTTCTTTTAAAGAAAAAAATCTGTCAGTTTAAAATTTGCGCAGAATTTTCACCTTCTTTGGCTGGGCAGTAACCCGGGAGAGTGTGCTGCCCACCCATTGCAGAGCCTTTCCAATTACATCCAGCTAAATTTTTTAAAAATTCATTTATGGGATGTGGGCGTCGCTGGCTGGCCAGCATTTCTTGCCCATCCCTAGTTCCCTTGAGAAGGTGGTGGTGAGCTGCCTTTTTGAACCGCTGCAGTCCTCCTGCTGTGGGTTGACCCACAATGCTGTTAGGGAGGGAATTCCAAGATTTTGACCCAAATTTATTTCAATGATGTAAAATTGTGTGAGCGCTATAGTGGACAAGAGACTTAATTACATTACTGTTCAATGACAATAGGCATACTCTTAGTCCAGGCCTTCCAACTGCTGATCAAGTTACATAACCAAAACCTAAATCTTGTTTTCTCTTAAATTGCCAATTCTTGGGACTACCTTTTAATTCTCTCTCATAACCTAATATGTTGCAATTTGTTTGAGAAATGAGTTCATGAGTCATAGCAAACAAATGCTAGCACATTTGCTAAAAACGTGGGCTGTTGTTGGACAAAATGTGAAGAATTAATTCATTGAGCAGAACAATTTAGTTCACTCTGTCTTCTCTCCAGCACAGATGTTTCCCGAAATACTTTAGAGATTAGATCAGTGCTTTCAAAAGTTATTCATTCCACACAAGACTCTCATAGTGTACAGATTAGCCACCTATCAAACAGAGAGAGACAATCCAAGCAATATAAGAAGCAACGATTCCTAGAACGCTAGACTTTTCACCGTTCAGAGTGTATAACTGCATTTTAATGCAACACAACACACCTCAAAACAAACACAGGATGGGTTCATGGATTAAACACTCTCCTGTCAAATGCTCAATTCCAACCTTGATCAGGCTAATAGTTTTGTCTCTCTATTGATACAATGCAATGATTTCGGTATGTTGGATCTTTAAGTCAGTTGTGAAGATACATCACTTATTGCTAACCCTTGAGAAAGCTGTCAACAACAATCTAGTGATCTCTGTAATACAGATTTTTCCTTTCTCAATATTAGTTTGAACCTGACTTGAAATCAATGGGGATCTCAAGGCATCCAGGAGCAGTGATGTCACCAAGTACACAGGCAAACGTGATGGAATTCAACACTGCATCCTATTGAGAAATGGAGAATTACTGATCGCAGCTTATGAATTTTGACGTTCAGCGGCTCATGTGCATATTTCTGAAGTTGCTGCCAATTGGTTGGAGCAATAACATTGAACACTGACAACTTCATCGTCATCACTACTGCAAACGGCAGATACTTGTACATAGAGTCACTTATGGTCATGTCCAGGGGCAAACTTTATGGGGATAGAGGGAATTTTGTTTTAGAATATTAACAACGTAAAGAACCAAATGGAAAAAAAAGATCCTGTTTGTTTTTCTGCCAGCCTGAATTTCTGCTGTGTACCAGGCTATCTCTGGATGCAGATTGGTTCATTTAATTTGTTCAGATGGTTCACCTACATTATCTAGTACATAGGCACAATCACAATGTTAAGAAATATCACTGGACCCATCTAGCTCAGCCTTTGCAGACAATACTTTCACTGTGCATTATTACATCGATCTGACTCTAAATGATTCTCAGGCTGAGATTACACCCAGTGTGGAAAATTTAAATGCAACATACATTTGAAACCTAAAATAATATGCTGTATTGAACCTGTTGCTTCAGTCAAGTGTGATGAATTTACTTTTTTGCATATTTTTCGCCAGATTTGAACAGGTTTTGCAGGGGTACTAGACATTGATGACTTAACTTGAAATCCTTCCATTGGTTCCAAAGTGTGTTTGAGAAAAACACAACTCCTGTTACTTTAGGACAGCAGATGGCACCACAGGATAGGAGACATTGTATTGGATAATCCAACTGCAAATTCTCACAAAATACTAAGGTCGGATGGATGTTGGATGGACAGAATAATATAAAGTTATTAGAAGAGCTTCTCATATTTTAGTATCAATACTGGATACCATGAGACAGCCATATCTTTTCAATTGCTCAGTTTTTGGATTTGCCATTAAATTTGTTAAAATAAAGGGATAGCACCAGCATTCAACCAAAAACAACAGTTTATACAAATCAGGTACGAGAGGCTACAGAGCGGTGAGCGTGTTTCAGACAGAGATATGAGTGAGAGAGAGAGAGAGGGACCATGTGTTCACAACCTGAGAGAGTTACTGTGAGTGAGGGAGTAAGCGAGGATGGAGAGTTTGGGGAGGGAGATCAAACTGTATTCCAAATAGTTCATGTGAGAGAGCATGAGGGAAGGAGGAGAGTGAGAGAAAGGAAGTAGGGGTAGAGACTGTCACACATCTCCTGCTGGAATGTGCCTTTGTAAAGGAGGTCCGGAGGGAGTTGCAATGGTTTTGTCGAGGCTCGTCCCGAGCAGCTCCTGGATGTTACTCTGCAGTCTGCTCCCAGGGACGCACACCGAGACAAACATCAACTGCGCCTGGAGGGCATTAACTCTGTAAAAGATGCTCGTCAGTCTGCTCGAAACTGGTTGGTCTTCCAGAGCTAGGAACTGACCTCGACCGAGAAACTGGCACATTCCAAGGCTCGGGACTACATGCTGAGGGACGCACTAAAGCTTGGGGCAGCTGCAGCCAAGGCCCAGTGGGGAAAGACCACTGTCTGACGTCTTCCTGCTGAAGGTAAATGGGGACCCATTCAGTTATCGGACCCTCCTGGTGCCGCAATATATGTAATCATGTACAAGTAGGAGATCCTTTGGCTTGTTTGTTGGATAGAGTCAAACGCCAATGTTGGTTTGTTTCTTCATATGCTACTATACAGAACTGAACTGCTTTAGTGACTTTGTACATACATAAAAATATTTTTATCAATAAAGTGAATTTTTGAAATAAAAAGAGTGAGAGTAAATAAGGGAGACATACTGTTCAAAAGCTAAAGTGTTTGTGTGAGGGAGTGAACAGAGGGAGAATGAGGACGAGTGCTCATGTATGTCAGGGTGCGAGGGTATGGGGTGAGAGAGTGTGAGCAGGGGAGAGATTCTGAGCGGGGGAGAGAGTGTGAGCGGCGGAGAGATTGTGAGGGGGAGAGATTGTGCGGAGCTGAGAGAGCAGGGACCAGAGAGTGCAGGAATGTGAGAATGCGGGGGTACATGAGAGAATATGGACATGCTAGATTGTGGGGATGAGAATATGTGGAAGGTGAGAGCGCAGGGGTGAGTGAGAGTGTGGTGGGGGGAAGGTGTGAGGAAGAAGATTTTGGGAGGTTGACAGTGTGAGAGGGTGAGACTCTGGGGGGGACTGCATGAGAGTGTGCACGGTGAGAGTGTGGGTGATGAGTGACAGTGAGGGAGGGGTGAGTGTGGGGGGGTG